AACTACCAAATGGAGTTCTGAAGCCAACGAAACAGGACTACCGACTATTACAAACTCGTGGAATCATTGAATTATGCAATTAATACAGAGACCGAAGAAGCGTCTAGGCCATTCGACCTGGATGTCATGCCATATCAAGACATCGACACTAATAAAAACACCCCACAGCATATAGACTATTTCCGACTGCTAACGGGATATGCTGTGGGGAAGTATATTAGAGATGAATTAAAATGTGAGCAATGCATACAAGAATTAAGCATCAGTAAAAAGAGCGCATGCAAACGAGTGGGCGGGCGTATTATATTATTATTATTTTTACTTATTTATTATTATTATTATTTTATTTGCTATATTATATTATAGTATATTATATTATTTTGGTTTATAATTATAATATAATATATAATCGTGGAATCGGCCACTCTGTCCAAGCGCTGTGGTCATATTTTTCTCTTTGTGAAAAAATTTTTGCAATTTAATTTCTTTATTGCGTTATACATTTTTAAAAGTTCTCAAACTTATTATAATCTATTAAACTTTCTGTGTGTTTATTGCGAAAAGTGTTCATCGCGGATATCGTACGTGTTCCTTTAAATACATTAAAAAAAAAAAAAAAATAAAAAAACAAAAAAAAAATAAATAAATGAATTAAAAACATCTGACTTTTTATTCAGTAGTTTCCCAAACCTTTTGAAGTGAGTGGTTATTTCACAAATAATAAGCAATAGACAACAATAAGGCATAATGGCCCCGGGGCCGCCAGACGAAAACTCGAATAGATTTCATCTATTAAGTGATACATCCCCCAAAAGAAAAAAAAGTAAAAATTCCGATTTTCCGTTGTTGCCAATCACCGATATAACCCCTATTGATAAAAAATATATTGTTATTTCTTCAACCGATGCTCGAATAACAATTTCCCAAATTAGCCCGTTTGCTATAAAAAAAGCTCTAGATAGCATTACAACATACATCGACTCCATCTCGATTCTACGCGATGGGAATTTACTGGTCCTCGCTGGGAACCCGCGCGCAACCGAAAAGCTCGTAAAGTCCAGATCTTTAGCTAATCTATGTGCTATTTCCGCTAAACTGCATGAGAAACTTAACTCAGTTAGAGGCGTAATTTATGCCCATTGCTTAAAACATGTGCCGGAAGAAGAGATTGTTCGCGAAATGGGCAATCAAGGAGTGACTAAAGTATATAAATTAACCAAACTGAATGATGACGGAAAAGCACGCTCTCCTACAGGAAGGATTATTTTAACTTTTGATCGCTATCGATTACCGCGAACAGTTGATGTGGCGTGGTATAAATGTAAAGTAAAACTATACATTCCAAATCCTATGAGGTGTAAAAATTACCAACGCCTGGGTCATACGGCAAAAAGATGCACTAGTGCTGCATCTTGTGCTAACTGTGGTCTTCCTCCACATGCTGAAAGCTGTACCCGTAGTTTCTGCATAAATTGCAATGATCAACACTCAGCTTTAGATAAACAATGCCCACGTTTTGTACAGATGCGTGAAATACTAAAAATCAAAACAGAAAATTACTGTAGCATGAGCGAAGCGCGACGCACATACCGGGAAAGAAATCCATCTGTAGCCCAAGGAATTGGCAAAAGTAATACCTACGCTGCTGATGCCTCGCAAAACAAGCCTAGGAAGCCTTTAACTTCAACTCCCTCCAAAGAAAAACCTGTTCCCCCCTAAAGCAAAAAGTATATTGCGAAACCAGCTACATCACCCGCCAAAGATAATATTGAAAAAACCAAAACAACACCGAATATTGAAAAAATTGAAACAACAACATATATGCTAAAATCTAATATACTAAACTCTCCAGAATCTCCAGTTCTCAATTCTAGTCAACAAATTGCAAGCTGTAATGAATCCAATCTTTCATCCCTCAATCAACCTTCAATTTCAAATTATTCACGTGTGCCCACTCGTTGCAATTCAAATTTACGCACCTAAGTACAGATTATTCTGCTGGTAAGAACAAATTATTCACGCAAAATTCTTACAGTGACATTTTCGACGGAGACGCTGACATGTCAAGTTAACCTACTTTCCACTCCATGCCACTACAATTAAATAAAGTTTTTAAAATTCTACAATGCAACATTAAGGGACTTCTTAATAATTTTGATGAAGTCCGTACACTCATAAGTGATATTAATCCAACCTTATATCGCTTCAAGAGATTCATTGTAGAAGCTCTTTTAATCCTATTCCACCCAAATCATATACTGGATATTTCACGAATGCTGATCAAAACTCATATTCCAAACAAGGAGTAGGTGTTTTTATAAAATCAAGTATACCTCACAAACGCATAAATTTAAGCTCAAATATACAAGCCGTAGCGATACAAATAATGTTAAATATAAAATTTACAGTGCTGTCGCTCTTCGCAATCGTTTTCTCAGCAAGAACTCTACAATTTATTCTCTGTACGAAATCACGTAACAATTCTCTCAATTGATTTCGAAAAAGCATTTGACAGAGTTGGTCTTCATGTTATCTTAAGACTCTTGAAATCATGGAATGTTGGACCCAAATTCTTCAACTACATCAAATCATTCATGTCGCATCGGCGGTTCAAAGTTAGAATCAACAATCATCTTTCTGATTCCTTTCCGCTAATGAATGGCATTCCGCAAGGATCTCCTCTCTCTGTCACGCTTTTTCAGATCGCTTTCAACGAAATTAGCAAAATTCTTTGCCGTGTACCAAGAGTGGAACATTGTCTCTACGCGGACGATGTATACATTTTTACAAAAGAAAAAGACAACACGAAAGCAATCAACATCCTCGAATGCATGTGAAATCTCCACGTGGGCAAACTCGTCAGGAGCTAAAATTTCTATACAAAAATCAAAAAAAATGCACATATGTCGAAAACAAATGTGCGATGCAGGAAACCTACTGATGCATATTAACGACCTACCAGTACTAAATGTGCAGACGCTCCATGTTCTCGGGCTCACGTTTTCCAACAATTATCGTTGGAAAGCACATTGTCTTCGGTTAAAAAACTCCCTTTTAACAAGGGTAAATTTCATACAGTACGTTGCTTGGAGAAGCCATGCGCATATTAACACTATTGCTTATCTTACAAAAATGCTTGTGCTAAGCAAGATTGACTATGCTTTGATAATTTATGGCAATAGCTGCAAATATAATATCAACATCCTTAAACCGGTCTATCACCAAGCCGTCAGAGTAAGTTGTTATGCTTTTCGGACGACGCCCACAAATAATATTACAATTGAAACTGGTCTCCCAGCTTTAGAAAATAGACTGTATGAGTTAAAAGCTAAAATAGTCCCTAAGCTTCTTAATTCAAACAAATCCATTCTCGGTGATGACGTAAGAAAGATTATTATTGCGAAGAAAATTCCAAAGTCACCATCTGCAATTGACCATTGTTTGTGCATCGCAAAGGAATTGAACATTCCCTTAAAAATTTCCCGCTCTTTTGGTGTTAAACCTCCCTGGATTTTGAAAGACTGCTCTTTTGACATCTCACTGTCTATGCACAAGAAAGAAGATACTCCAAATTACGTCTTGAGGAATCTAATAGCTGAAAAAATCCAAGTATTGGATAGTGCTGGTTGGAATCTTTTGTACACAGACGGCTTAAAATCTCCTGGTCTGCCTCCTGCTTGTGCGGTGGTAGATGCTACAGGACGGGTTCTTCTCAACCACATATTTCACGAAAGTACTTCAACTTTCACAACGGAAGCCAGAGCTATTCTTCACGCTGCCAACCTTGCCCATAAAAACAAACTCAAAACCGTTATTGTTACCGACAGTTTGTCTGTATTACAAGCTGTTCGGAATCCTTCGACTTCGAGATGGAGCACCATCAACAAATTAAGGAATATAATTACTACACCCGACGGAAAAATTAAAATGTTATGGGTACCAAGTCACATCGGTTTACTGGGAAATGAGCAGGCGGATTTAGCGGCAAAGTATGCTGCTTCTGCTCCTCTAATTATGGATGATGTCATGGAAAAGTTGGATCTTCAAAGATACATTGGAAGAAAAGTTAAAGAGAAAATTACAGAAGGAAATTTACAATACCATCATCAACACTACTCTTTTATTAACCCTCAATTAACTCCACCTTTATATCCAACAAACGTTGAGAAAACCAAGATCCAAACATTCTCGAGAATTCGCCTTGGTCATACAATTGCAACTCACCAATGGATGAAGAAGTCTTCTTCCCCAATCTGCTGTTGTGGACAAACTCTTACTATAAAGCACATTCTCTGCGACTGTGTCAACTTTTCCTCGGCTAGAAGTATTGCATTTAGAACGATTAACCCTTTGAACATTCTACAATCAGCTTCAGAACAGAATATCAATTCAATATATTACTTTTTTAATACTACTAAGTTCACTTGTAATACCCATTTATTTAAATTAGAGCCGATAGCCTGTGTTGCTAGTGCTCAATGTCTTATTTTTAGTCTAAGAATTCATTTCATTAGTCTAAAATTGAAATAATAATAATAATAATATATAATCGTATATATATGTTATATATACGTTACGATAACTACGTTGTCTTCAAATGCCTTCGAATATGTCGGCTGCTTTCAATGCTTCTTCTTCTCCCAATTTGATATTTTATATATATAATTTTTGTAAATGCAACGCACGATGCATATATATAGTATATATATAATTTTTGTAAATGCAATGCACGATGCATATATACAGTATACATATAATTTTTGTAAATGCAGTGCACGAGGCATATATTAAATTAAATTACTACAAGCCGATAGCCTTAGATGCTAGTGCTTTTAAGAGTTTAGTCTTAGAATTTATTTCTCTGGCGAAATTAGTAATAATAATAATAATAATAATAAATTACCATCATTGTGAAATATGTATATATGTATATAATGGTGTAGGCCTAAAGGGGAGCCAGCCATTTAAAACAATTGGCAACGCGCCTGGCACGATACCTCAAGGTGGTGTGGAAAATCGTGAGAAAAATTTTATGGTATATGGCACTGGTTTTGTGGACAATATATAATCTAACTTAGCAGAAAACAAAGGTTCAACTCTGTTAAAATGCAAAGCCTTATCAATAACTACTCACTTTTCTTTCTTGTTAGCTTTTCTAAGTTTGTATTTGGTATGGAAATTAGCCAAGTTTTTGTCTGCGCATTAATAAGTAACTGAGCTTCCTGACGTGGCTGATGGTTGTAATGTTTCATATGGCTGATGTACTTGCAAATTGTTTACAAATCAATGGGTGGTATAGCGAATTCGAATGAAAAACAGATGAAATTGTGATGGATCCTCTGGCTCATAGCAAATCTTTTTTTTGGTATGTTGAATGGAGATGGACTAAGCCAATAGATTTGTGGCTTATATGTCGAATAGCAAATCTACACAAAAATTCAGATTTGCAACAACAAACAAACACAGCTTTATAACAACAAATACAAACGAAAAGCTTTACAAAAACACTTACTTTTTCAAGAACGTTGTGGCTCTCCTAAGCTGTTTGTTACCATTGTTACCAAGCCAATAAAAAAAGTAAACAAGTGGCGTCAAATTTAATATCAAATGTTTTTTATAATCAGGTGTTTTATTTAATGTTTACATATGACTGTTTTAGAAAATATCGAATTTATTGAACGAAGCATCTTAAAATTGTTTAAATAAGTTACATGGATCGTGAGACGGTTCCGTCAGCTGCTAATTCTACAACGCCTCGCCTTCATGCACAGTCCGGAAGAGATGATACTGAGTCATACAGCGACGCTGAAGCTGGAGTGGGTGGCATTATATCAGAAATTCTCGAAGAGATGGATCAACAACAACAATGTGTGCCTCCAACATCTGCTGCAAAATTTTCTACAGGATCCCTGGTTGAAGAAGCTACAGATGAAATAGAGCCTGATAAAGAAACATTGCTTATTTCTTCCGATTCTCCAACAGACTGTTTGCATAATCCCACATGGCGCTTTCAAAAGAAACATATTTTTATTTTAAGCGAAGCGGGGAAACCCGTTTTTTCCTTGCATGGTAATGAAGAAAATCTGGCGTCGATTTTTGGTGTAATACAGGCTTTAGTGAGTTTCGTGCAGGACGGTCAAGATGAGATTAAATCAATTCAGGCGAAAGATGTGCAAATTGTGTTTTTGTTGAAGCCTAGCCTCATTTTAGTAGCAGTTTCAAGAACAGGTTTCAGCTCGGCCCAATTGGAAATGCAGCTCAAGTATGTAACCTCATTGCTACTAATTAAATTTAAATAAAGAAAGTTCTGTCTCTCAATTTAAATTCGTCTTATGGTTCATATCTTCTTTAATGTCTTCTCAGCGATGTATACCATCAAATTATATCCACGCTTACGTTTCGTCATTTAAAAACTGTATTTTCAAAACATAAAGGTTTTGATCTTAGACGTCTATTGGCTGGAAGCGAAAGATTAATACGGCATTTGGTATTAAGCGACAGCAGCACTGGGCAAACAAATAAAAATGTCTTCACCTTCTTAACAAATTCCATACGGGTGCTACCAATGCAAGCTTCGACACGTTTGTCTATAGTAAATGCCATTAAAGAAAATTGTCATAATCACAAAAACTTGGTGTTTGCCGTATTAATAGTCAATAATCAGCTGATAACAATGGTACGCATGAAAAAGTACTCCATAAATCCTGCCGATTTAAGGTAAATACGTATTAAAATTTTTCATCCCGAACAGGCTCTGTATTATATAACAGTCCTCGTCGGCTTGAATAGCAGGACAGATTTAGCTGTATTTCTATGTCTTTTGAAATCACGATACCAGCTTTCGATTGATTGATCAACGCGGATTAACCATGTTCTCAACTTTTCCTCTTCTTAATTCATTATTGCACGCGATCTTCAATTTTTATATCATCATCGAAGGATGATGAACATATTAAATTCATCGAACAAATACACATCAGAGACTCAATAGAATGTAAGGTTATGAATCGACTTGTTTGTCTGTCCACGCGATAGTTAGGTTGCCTCTTGTGATGATAAGATAGAAGTTTGAGACGATAGGAATGACTATGAAAACATTGAATACAGCGCGCTCACTATGAAGCAAAGATGGAATGCCCGGCATACAACAGGTATTGATCTTGGGCCAATAGAATATTTTGATAGACCTACAAGAAGGTTGGTGAAAGTGCCATAGACTGATCAATCACAATGCGTTAATTGGAACTGATGGCTATAAAATATTCTTCGCAAGTAGAATGCAACTCACATGAAAAGTTGTTCTGTGATATACAAACAAGCAAAATCTCGCATATTAATTTTTTTAAATATGGTTTTTAGGTAGTTTAGATAGCTATTGTAATATATTTCCGTTGTGTACCTTTGTTGTGTACTTAGATATCTTTGGTCTAATTAATTAATTAATTGTTCAATGAAAGTAATAGGTTTTAAAAATATCGATTCAAGCCGAATATAATTCCTCCTTATATTCCTGTTTCTAATGTAGTTCCCTTTAAATAGATTGGTATTTAATCTGGTTGAAAGCTCAGAATCTTTTAAAAACTATGATGAAAATTGGACGCCACTATGTCTACCAAGATTTGATGAAAACGGCTTTTTGCATGCTCACGTGTCCTATTTGGCTGAGTGCTGCCAGGCGTGTCTTCTTCTTTTTTCAGTGGATAAGGACGATTTCTTCGATTTGTCGGAGGTGAAAAAGCGTATAACCGAAAAATTGGAACGTACTCAATGCTTCCCAGCAATCAATGAAGCCGCGATAAAGACTAAAAAAGTTAAATTGCCTACATTTGGCAGCGACATACCAGAGCTGAAACATTTTTTATATAAACCGAAAGCTCTAGCGCAGCTGCTTTGTTCTGACTTTCCAAGGCCATACAATACTATAGAGGGTTTTCGTCATTTAGAAGCTACTTATTGTAATCTCATCGAATGTGTACACAGCGTCCATAGACCTCTGAAATTAATATATAAAGCAAAAAGCAATGAAATTTTACTTGCATGGGTTACATCAGCATATGAATTGTATGCAGTGTTCGAACCCTTTGCAGAAAAAAGTACCATTATTAAGCACGTAGATAAATTAATTAAAGGGATTGATAAGGAATTCGACACTTTTTTTATAAACAGCCACCCAACGTTCTGAAGATGGCTAAACGTGTACTTGACCCCCACTTATTGTAATATATTCCACTGCTAAGTTGTATGCTAAACAATTCTTCTAATAGAAAAATTTTAGTTAGAAACTATTGTTATTAATTTGGATTATATGTATATACGTACAAAAATACGTAATAACTAATTAAAAAAAAAAGGAAAATGAAATTTGATAAACAATACAAATAAAAAAACTATAGCCATTTGTATTTGTGATACAAAAAATTTGTAAAAAGTATTAGAATGCACCTAGTGTAAGAACAAGTATTTAGTAAATCTTGAAGATAATAATTAAATAACCTTTTTCCGAAAATAACGTGTACTCGATGTTTTCAGCAGGAAAAAAGGTAAGGTAACTACCTTGATATGGTATGTGAACAACCCGATTGGCGGCGTGAAATTATTTAAGTCAACAAAAATCTTAACTCTAAAAAATATTAAATAAGCCCAGTAAGAGCAAACGTATCCTTAGCTTAGCTTAGCTGCCACTGCGCCAATGATATGATAGAAAATTTTTACTTTTGCTCAAAAGACGAATCTGAACAACATTTGTATAAAGGTTTGAAAGAAGCTAGAAAAACCAAATAAATTGCAAAACCCGAGCATGAAGACGAAGAAAATGGCCGTGGTAAAAACTTAAGTTTATAAGATGAAATTAAGCGCATAAATACTATGAAAACAAGGCAGAAAATCAAATCCCTCGATATACTACAAGTTCTGGGCTTATATCTTTACCTTTTCAACCAATCAAGAATGGGAAATAAATATTTAAAGCATTGTTTTGTTAACCCTTAAAGCGAACATCAAAAATTAATGTAGAACTCGGTGGAATGTTAGGAGGAGGATTTCATTTAGACGAAGGTACTAAAACGTAGAATGCTGTGATAAGTCCTACTTGTTGGTTTTCATCGTTTTTTACAGGGGCAATGATTTGGGTGTAGCTGCAATAAAATTAGGTGAAAAATGTTAGCTAACTTGTGCTCCCAGTTATGCCTATGGTGCTGCCGAAGTCCTCCTGTCTTTGATCGATGATAATATTCGTTCAGTGGTTAGGGAACAAACGAATACTGGCCAAGATGGCCAACTAGCTTTATGTGAAGCGCAAAAAGCTATTAGCACTTTATACGAGCACATTATTGATGTTAAAACGCGTGCCGAACGCACCGAAGAAGTGGTGAAAGATATTACAAGGGACATTAAACAATTGGACTGCGCTAAAAGAAATCTCATCTCAGCTATAACTACTTTAAATCACTTGCATATGTTGGTAGGTGGAATAGAGAGTTTAAAAATTTTAATTGAAAAGTGTTTGTATGATGAAATTTTAAATCTTTTGCAAGCCATCACAGAAGTGAATCAACATTTTCAACAGTCTTCTGACATCGAGGAGATTAAGAATTTATCACAAAGTGTCGACAAGATACAAATAAGTTTGACTCACCAGATAACTGAGGATCTTCAGGAAGCCTCCTCCGTAAAAACAGTCATCCATGTTTGGATCTTAATCAGTTGTTTCAGTGACGACCTTAACAATAGTAACAATAATAATAATTTAAGTAACATAAATTTGCCGTCGCCATATGCAGTAATGCCAGTGTCATCAGCATCCTCCGCTATGGTCTTTACTGATCAGATAATTAACAACCAGCAGCAGCAACAAAATCATCATCTTCGACAACCATTTTATTCGAACACTAATTTGTCTGATCGACGTCACAATTTTATCAGCAGCAAATTCCGACATATTTAGGTAATAAGATAACAAACAGCAACGAGCTGAATTGTATGGCATATGTTAAAACAACGGAAACACCGGCAGGCTTTTGGTGAATTGGTAAATAACATGCGCATGTGTCCTATGTAGCAGCCTCCAAACCCGGATACACCTCCAGCAGATGTAAGTGATCTAAACCTTTCTTCGTACAGAGCTTTCAATTTTCTTCTAAAACTACGCACATTAAAAGGCAATAGTTAGCACAGATTACAAATTGATTTATATTAGGCGTTTACCAAAAATGTTAATCACTTTTTCACTTGAAAAGGACATTTATTGTGGAAAATTGTTACCACTCGTACGGATCGAGTCATATGTATCGCAAGGCTTAGCAAAAGCAGCGTTATCAAGTTTAGTTTTCTTTCAAAACTTGATAGAAGTCTTTTTATTTTTGGCTATTACATAAGTTTAGAGATTTTCTACATATACGCCAAAATTGATTTTTTGAGGATTTTAATATGTGAGTATCAAAATGAAATTTATATAGCTGCACGGGCGGCATATTACATAATATGCTTTTGAGAAACAAAATAAATGTTTCCTAACTGATCTTATTGACGAAAGCACTACCAGTAGAATAATCTTCAAAGAAAAGGAAAGACGTGAGACCACATTACATTACGTTAACACGTTATTAATGTGTATTTATATTTAGTTATAAACACTTGTAAGGAAACGTTTTTGCTTCCTTACGGAATACAAGTCCGTCCGCTTGAAATAGCGAACCACCTGTCAGTCCGAGCTGTCCGTAAACGTCTGTCTGGGGTAATAAAGCATGAACAACCTCCTCCAGCACAAGTCAAGAACTCAAATGTAAAAGAAGGTTTAGATTCAAGAAATCAATATGTATACAAGCATAAGCCAAGAGACCAAATGTATTGTTATGAAATTCGCTTTTTACAAGATACAGTCCGTATCACTAGATCGTGGATATTTTGATCAAGAGCACTTCAAAGTTCTTTTATTTTACTACTTTGTCTTTCACAACAGTAGGAATATTTATTTACAACGCAGTAGGATACACGTACACTCACATGAGCTCAAACATACACAGAAGCTACAGCAGCGTTGCACAAAGGTATAGTACCGTTAGGTCACAATGAATCTTCAAATAATGTACAAAGCCGATAGCACCGTTAGGGCAAACAAAACATGCAGAACTGACCTTAGGTAGAAATCTATACATGCAAAACGAAGAAATTTCAGCGAAAATCTCTATGTTGTAAAATTCGCAGAATGTATGGCACCGTTAGGGTATACAAAAGTTACAGGAGTAAGTACGAAAAATAAGAACATACGGCAATGCATAAACTGCATACATAAAATGTACAAAGGCGCGATCACAAGCACGTAGAAACACACAAAGCAAAGCGTATGCAAACATAAAGGCATAGTAAGGCACAAGCACACACGTACTCAACAGTGGTTGAATCACGCGAATTGGTACCTGGGTGTCTGTTGAGCGGACATTTGAACAAGCATAGTGATAAGCTAGACGTAAGTTGGTATTAAGTTATGTATAAGCAGGATCATGCAAGTCGTAACTAAGGTTGCGACTGCAGCTAACCTAAGCTAATCATACACACAAGCATAATACCTCAAGGCATATGTAAACACGTAGAACATATTGGCAAGAGGACAAGCGAGCGGGACTTCAGCTATAAAAGAGCAGCGCATCGCATAGAATCGTGTAGTTTGGTGTCATAGGTAAGTACCCAAGGACAATTTGACGAGTTGACCTTTACAAAGAATTTTTTTTTTTTTGTGACTCTACGGATAGGGGATGTGCTGGTTTAGCTGTTAACCGCCATCCCTGAAGGACTTTTAGGACTACTGACTCTACGGATAGGGGATGCGCTGGTTTAGTTGTTAACCGCCATCCCTGAAAGACTTTTAGGACTACTGACTCTACGGATAGGGGATGTGCTGGTTTAGCTGTTAACCGCCATCCCTGAAAGACTTTTAGGACTACTAACTCTACGGATAGGGGACGTGCTGGTTTAGCTGTTAACCGCCATCCCTGAAGGACTGGGAGGGAACATCCTTTTTCTGTTTACATACGAATAACCAACCTGAAACGAACCGTTGGCCCAGACAGCTATGACGCTGGCAACGTTTCTGTTTCTCTGTAGCGCTTCGCGATAATCCAAAAGAAAAAAATATGTAATAAGATAAGAAGTTAATCTCTCACCTCGTGCAAGCCACACTAGAAGTCGGATCACCTCGCTGGTTCCTTGCCATAGCCAGCTTCTACACATCGCTGTACTTCTCTCCAGTAAAAACGAAATAATAAATAAAGGAATTTGTACACCATTCCCCCCGAAGGTCCGGATTATTTTTATTCTAAATTTTCTTGCAACGAACCTTGGAGTGACTGAGTTATACCCCGCCCAAGAAAACCCGTTACACACTAAAAAGGAAATTTATACAAAAATCTGAAAAATGTCATTTAAAAATACTTTCGTTTTGTTTTAATATTTCATTTTGTTTTGCTTAGGACTTTGGTAAGATCTTTGATAGCCGCTACTAATTCTTGTTGTACTTTCAGGTGTTCCTCTCGAAATTTTTGTTCGCTGTTATGTCTTTGTTTAATAACTGTTGCGAGTCTATTTACAGCATTAAAAATACCGTTTTTGGTGCTATTTATGTTATTTATGTAGTTCTCAGCTAAACTTTATATCTCTTCAAAAATAAAAATAAAAAATAATTTCTTCAATTGTATTTAAACTTTATTTTTTCACTTTGCAACGCTCTCCTAAATTTAAATCTGCTGAAGTTTTGCAATTTTTGGGCACTTTTTTCGTAGCGCATTGAAGTTCAAAATGCCGGATGATGCTTGAAAAACTGCCTGACAGTTGAAATCGCTATTAATAGCTTGAAATTTACTATGAGACATTAAAAAGCAAAGTTTCTCGTAAGTTTACATTCGAAATAAGCTCAATCCTAAATATCCGATCGTATTTCTCTCTTTAATAAGGTAAAATTTTTAATTATCTTGCCTTTGTTTCCAATGTCAACATTATCATCGTCAGCGCTTTCAGCAAAATATTTATCTTGATTAATTTGCTGCAAGTTATCAAATTGTGTATTGTCGTCTACTGTACTGTAATCGAAATCTCCATCCTGTTCCGTTAGAAATCGTTCATGCATCAAACTAATAAATTCCTCCTTTAAGAGTTCTCTTTCACCAGCAGTTATAAGATTATTTAACGACCTTTCATTATCTGTAAAGGTCGGATATGTTTTTTTCCTAACGTTTGGTAGAAGAGTAGAGGAATAAGCAACACATTCATTATCAAAATTTCCCCATTGTTGACGATAGCTAGCAGGA